GGCGGCGGGCGGCGCGCCCAAGCTCTGCGGCTACCTGCAGAAGCTGTCGGGCAAGGGCCCCCTGCGCGGCTTCCGCAGCCGCTGGTTCGTGTTCGACCCGCGCCGCTGCTATCTCTACTACTTCAAGGGGCCGCAGGAGGCGCTGCCGCTGGGGCACCTGGACATCGCCGCCGCCTGCTTCAGCTACCACCAGCCCGAGGCCGCCGCCGCCGCGGGCGACGAGGCCGCCGCCTTCGAGGTGCACAGCCCGGGCGGCGCCGTGGCCGTGCTCAAGGTAGGCCGGGGCGCGCGGGGCCGGGCCTGGCTGCGAGCGTTGGTGCCAACGGCAGCGATCGCAACGGGCCTCGCAGGGAGCGAGCGAGGTACCCGTGTGGGAAACTCATAACTTGTCTTTTATCTGTTTATTTATTTATGTTGCCTTAGCTGGGAGCCGAACTTGCGTTGCTTTCCCCGTCGCAGCTTTTAGACCCTGAGCGCTTCATTTAGAGAAGCTAAAACTACAGCCTGGGTGCAACAGCTGCAGCTCCTGATTTTTTTCTTTTTTTTTTTTTTTCTTTTGCAATTGGCGTCTAGTGATTCCCCATGGAAAATCTCAGGGAATGGCGCACGGTGAGCACCGTGGGGTTGGGTTTTCCCGGCAGGAGGGCAGGTGTGTAGCACGTGCCGCGGGTTGCAGCGGTGTTTCCCGCCTGTGCAGCAGGAGAGCGGGTCCATGTGCAGCTCCTGGCAGCCTCCCCGGGAGTGGATCCGTTGGGAACCATGGAGCTCTCCTGTGCTTCCCCTCTGCCTCCATCATGGTTGCTTTTAGCCCTGTATTTACTCTTTGTTCCTTCCTATGCTGTCAGCATGAACGCAGCTCTATTCCTGTATCCTTTATGGGAACTGGGGCAAGGTGCCAGTTAAGTAACGATCAGAGGAAAAGAAAACAACTGTGCATCCTCTGGTGATGCCGTCCTCTTCCTCGGTTATGGCGCTTGTCCTACAGCAGCTGTGCGACTGCCTGTAAAAAATCTGGTTTCCTCAGTGTTGAACAGCCCAATGCCTTGGTTGAGCCCTATGGAATTATCTTTAAACAGTAAGTGTAAGTAAGAGTGAATTCAAGTCATTAGGAATAATAAAGTGTGTTTCAGCCACCACTGGAGTCAAATGAGGGTTAATCTATGAAGAAAACATTACACACAGAGCATGAGGAAGAGAGTCAAGTCAAATGTAGCCTTTACCCTCGAGCTCATGTGCCTTGTATTCCTCAATTTGCTGCTTGTCAGATTTTCCAGCCCTCATGATCTGGTCTTTCCCATTCAGTATTATAAGCGGAGAAGAGCAAGAAGAAATAAGCGATTGGAATTCCACATTGAAATGATGGTGCTGTTCAGGAATGCATTATTTCTTCATAATGCTTCAGTTTTTTTGTCAAGGCAATGATTTCATCATCTGGGTAGCTCAGTATCTGTTGTTTAATGAGAACTGAAGATGTTCTGATATCCTGGGGATTCATTTCCTCAGTTTGATGGCAGTCTTGCAGGGGAAAATCTGCTGTAGCTTTTACAGCAGATAAAGCAAGTCTTTCACAGTTAAGAAATACAGATAAGCAACCTGACAACTGCAAGATTGTAGTCTTCCTGTATGTTTGCAACTGTTAGAGCACATTAGAAGAAGCTGAGTAAACGTAAAAGCTTTTTTTTAGCCTGTTTTTTGTATAGCTGATACCAACATTTTAGCAAAGAGGCGGGGAAAACATGCCACGAATTATGGGCAGATTGTGGAAATCTGACTGTGTGGATAGGGCCTGGTGCTGCAAATACTTGCTGTCACACAATGCTGTTAACAGTGTCAAGTGAACACTTGTTCATGTTTGTATAGGGAAACCTGCCATTTAAGGAGAAAAGAATTAGCAGAATGAATATATAAGTGAAGGAAAAGGTAATTTCTCCTTTATTTTTTTAAAATGACACTTCTTTTGGAGAGTAGTGCAGATTGGTTGCTTCTGAATCGAAGAAATGCTCTCTGCAGGTGGTAGATACTGTGATACATCCCCTTATGTGTTGGAGCAATGGGGAGTTTGGGGTGGGAGAGACTGCAGGGCTGCTTAAAGGAAAACCTTTCTGTGTTATCGGTCGGGTTGGGAAAATGCCAGAAAGTGCAATTTTGGGGAGTGGAAATCTCCAAGGAAAGGGAAGAAAGACAAAATAATGCGTGTGGCAGGGGGAAGTGACACTTTGGGCAGGTGACTTAAAACATGCAGAGGGATATTGCTTTGCTCTGTGTTTTATATTGCAGGGCCATAATCATGCTGGCTGGCCCAGTTTGCAGCAGTGATGTCATTTAAGCTGAGGGTGTGTATATGCTGCTCAGCAGCTAGCAAATTCTTTGGGAGTTTAAAACCAAACCCCAGCCCTGTTAGCTTTTTAAGAGCGTTTGGGAGAGGATAACGGGCCAAGCTGTGGAAAAGGCACCTCAGGTTGTGCCGGTCGTGGGCAGACATTAATTAGGAGCTGTTGTGAGTCAGCGTGACTTGGCCGCGATCGCGTTGTGGCCGCTGCCGGGCAGGGAGCCACGAGCGCCTCCGAGGCTCCGCCGCGCTCCGAGCGGGCGCTCGATGGAGACGGGGCCTCTGCCGCTGGATACATCTCATCCCTGCCTCGCTGTCTGCCCTTGAGTGGTGATTGTGGTTATTGCTCAGCCTGCCAGGGTGCTGGGCTGCAGTGATCCCTGCTGCTTCCTGACCGGCTGCTCGGGATGCACATTGGAATCCGGCATGTGCGGCAGTGTCAGCTGCCACCGTTAGCCGCTCGCTGGGGTTTCAGGGTTGTTGGTTGGTGTCCTGTGAAATTACTCTTTAAATTTCAGTCAGAATCACAGCTGTAAGATCAGTTCAAGCTCTTGTTTGCCTACCACCCGTTCACATTGACTGTTGTTGATGGTTGTAGGTAAATATTTTTATCTACAGGGTTGTAGATAAATACTTTTTGTTGCTGTTTTAAAAACCTCCTTCCTGTGGAAGTTAGTTGGGTCATGAAGTCAAGGTAAAACAGTCTGTAGATGGTAATCGTGAAGGTACATGTGTTACAATGCCATATTAATTTACTGATTTTTGCTACTAGCTAAGCAAGCTGAATAAGGATTTTTTGTTTTTTAAATGGATATGTAACCAGCAATGTTTCATAAAAATATAAGATGCTATTATTACTTTTTATTGCTGGTGAGTGTAAAACTGGAGAAAGAAATGCATGTGACACTTTAATGTAAAATGGATTTGATAAGAAAATCTGGAACGTGTGTGCGCACTGCATACATCTAGTAGGTTGTGGTTATTTCTTTTAAACTATGTTAATTTTACTTTGTTGTAATTAGCAGGTCAGCAAAGGTGGCCTGAGAGGTGTTCTCCTCCTCCCACATTTGACCTCACTGTGCGCGTCTGCAGGGAGGTGCGACGACGTCTTCAGTGCTCTGCTTCTCTGTGTTGCAGGCTGCGACCCGTCAGGACATGACCTACTGGCTTCAGGAGCTGCAGCAGAAGAGGTGGGAATATTGCAACAACCTCGACGCGGCCAAAAGGGACAGCCGAACGTCCCCAACACCAAGCGACTTGTCCAAAGGTCTTGTTGCCAAAGACAACCCGGGTAGGTGGAAACTTGGAGTAAAGACAGAGCAGGAGTTTCTACCGGTATTGGTTTATCAGTACAAGGCAGTACCAAAGTAGGGAACATGATAGTCTTAGGAAGTTTTCCTTGTGTCCTACTGTTATGAGATAGCTGTAAAGCAGCTATTGAAAATGAAGTGGGTTTAGCAATCGATTTAAAAGGGGCAAAATACACATGAGGTGAGTTGTCTTTTAGTTTTTACAATATCTTGAGAGTTCAGTATTCCAGGAGGTTTCCTGGAATGTAAATTCCAGTTTTTACTGTGAGCTTACTTGGAATTCATCTGATGGGAATCTCCTGTTCTGAATGAAAATATAGTTTGTTCTTGAAAGAAGTGTGGTGTGGTTTATGGGTCTCTGATGTACGTTCTCTGCCTCCATAAAGTAGAAGGCAACTTACGCTGAGACTACACATGTGGAATTTAACCTCCATAGTATCCTCAGCCAAGCAAAATGTAATTTTAACCTGTTGTCAGAATTATAAAAATGTAGCAATTTGTTATATAAAGTTAAACTGCTTTTTGACCACACTGCTCAGGCCCTTTTATATTGTTTTATTCCTGGATCACTAAAGAAATGCATTGGTTAGTTATCTCTGTTATCCATAATTAAGACTGGATAAGTAATCCCTTCTGTGCCAAGTTAAACGTGTTAGGAAAGATCTCTTGGGTTTAAATGGAGTCTTGAGGTCAGGCATATTACCTGAAAAGACTTGGTTTTGTTGATTTCAGCCTGCTCACACCGCGAGGACAGAAACTGAGGCTGTTTCTCAACCCTGTTCAGCTCCCGGGCTGTAGTCACGTCCGCTAATCCGATATATGGAGTTTGTTTGAGAGCAGCCTGCTCAGCCTCGGCCACCTCGAGAGCTGCTGCCTTAGCAGGGCTCAATCTGCGCTCAGAGCAGCCCCCAGCTCTGTCCTTCCCTCTCGATGCCCTGAAGGCAGGGAGCAAAGCGAGCCAGAGCCTCCCTCCACACTCCTTCCTAATAAAAGGTCCTGAAGTGGTTTAATGTGGGGCCAGGTACACGTCAGGGTTAGCACAAGGGATCTGGTCTTCACCCGCCACGCGTTTCCCCCTCTCCCTCCGCTCCTTTGCGGTGACTCTGCGCTGCATTAGCTCAGTTCTCAGTTTGGCCAAAATGGAGCCTGTCTCATTTTTTTTCTGCTGTGTTATGAGTGGAATATGTTCATCGTGCAATGAAATCATTGCCAGAGCTGGTGGAGGAGAGGGGATATGGCTTAATAGCTAAATAAGGGGAGGGGAAATAAAGGAGTAGATAGGATAGCTGGCTTTTGGAATCAGGCTGTTGGACTACATCAGCTATAAAGTGGAACTCTACCCCAAATCTGTCTGTACCTCATTGCTGCTTTCCATGTTTCGGGTAAAACTCGGCTGCTGTCATTAAAGTATGTGGAAAGCTGTGGAGTTTGCTCTCTTTGCATCGCATTTGGGAGCTAGGTGAAAGAATCCAGTCAGTTTAGGTGGCTTGATAATGCTATTTCTTCTAGGTATTGGGCTACTTCCTGCTGCATCACAAGCCAAACCAGAGTATTATTTGCCTGGATTGTTTATTAAATCTAATGCAAGGAAAGTCGAGGAAATTGAGGGGCTTAGTCTTGTTTGTGGACACCTGGTGTTTAAATTTGAAACTTTCTGCATTGCCTTGTTTTAGGAGACAGAACACAAATGGCTTTACCAAATTCAGTCTTTTCTGTGGAAAATGAGAAGGACCCTTAATTTTCATAAAGATTTGGGGAATTCTTAAAGGCTCTGCCTCCATGCTGAGGGCTACCTGTCTACCAGTGCAGTTGATGGTGTCCTTTATCCTAGAACATAGAAATTATTTTCTTTTGCTAGTGCTTAAGTACCAATACTGTCAGTAGCCTTCTAAATGAGGAAGTATTCTATCTTTGGCCCAGAAACAAAACTGCACACTGTAGTGGTGTCTGTTCTGCCCCCTTCCCATCCCAGTCTTTGCTTATAATCTTATATAAAATAAAAAATCATCTCAATACAGTCTAGTTCAGAAATCTGGAGTAACTTGAAAGAGGGTAAAAAGGAACAAAAAGGTACTGCTCTGTGGTTCAGGCTTGACAAGGAAGCATTTTCATAAGAGTTCTTAAGAATATTCAAATCAAAAAATAAACACTAAAGTACTTCGGAATATTCTACAAAGTTGCTTGTGGGAGAAAAGTTGATATAGATATGTTGGATTTATAGTGGAGCTGCATTACTACTATGGAAGTCAAGTAAATTCATTTTACAACATGATTTTCTTTTTTTTTTCATAATTAATCTTACCATGTTCACTTAAGAGACAAAATGTTACCGAGGTAAGACCTTCCTCCTACCCTGTACAAATTTTACAGGGCACTTGATATATTAGCCACTGATCAAGAAACTGTCTTGTGTATGGGACTTCTTGGTTGGTATTTTCTTCTGAAAACTTAATTCCTGAGAAGAAAAGAGTTACTTCCATATTATATATACCTGGTGTTTGCTCATTCCATATGGCAGTGACGGCTCCTTTGCTTGCCATAGTGCAGGTTGAGGCTTGATGCAAAGAGGTCAGAGCTCCCCTTGCCATTAGCGCTGCCTTGCACTGCACCCTGGCACAAACCCTTGGCCTCGATCAAGCGCAGCCCTCACGAGGAATTCATCACACTCAAAACAAAGCAAAGAAAAACATTTGGATTAATTCCTCGCTGCAGTTCTCTGCCTTGCAACGTGCCCCTGCTTCTGGCAGCACAGGAAGGCAGACGTGCTTTTTCAGGCTGCATTTCCCACTTAAGATGTGAGCTCATTGACTTGCAGCAGAAGTGGCCAAGTGACTGGTAGGACAAAGCCCAGCCTGCCGGCAGGGTTAGCAGCGTTTCTGTGCCACTGCTCTGGGCTCGGCTTGGGCAGACGTGAGCTGGTTTTACAAGGGTTTTTGTGGATTAACACAATTAATTCACATTAAGTTATGTGGCTTTTTAGCCACTTAACCTTGATGAACAAGTATTAGCTAATTGAAATTGCAAATTGCCGCCTTAATGGTTTGTGAGCTGCGGCTTGAGACCTGGTGTTGGAAGAACAGGGCAATAGTAACATGCCGAGGAAGGTACTTTGCTCTTTTATAAAACATCATGGGGTTTTTTTTGTTTTTAAAGTTATGATGTAACTCAAAGTAAAACCTTTAATATAATCATTGATGAGTTAGTAGTAATATAAATTTATAGAGCTATTTCTAAAGTAAAACTTTGCCTTATGTTACTGTTTTACTCCATGATAGTTTTGAGTGTTTTTTTTTCTTTTTCTCTGACTCTTGTATTTATCTGTTTATTTATAGAGCTGAGTATCCTAAGTCAAAATGCTTCGGCAGAAAGAGCCAGAAATATCCTAGCCGTGGAGACCTCCCCTACGGAGCTGGTGGGGGAGCAGGCTGCCTCCCAGCCTGCGCCCGTGCAGCCCAGCGCCATCAACTTCTCCCTGAAGCAGTGGAGCGCTGAGATCAAGTAAGTTGGGGGCCCTGGGGGCTGCTGCCTCGTGAAGGCCCAGGGTTACGGTGTAGCTTTTGGCAAGAACTGGGTGTGATGGGGTGGAATACGTTGCGCTGTGTCCCCAAGTAAGTTGTTTCTTTGCTCTAGTTGCTTGTGTGAAGGGCAGAGCTGAGCATAGTTGTTAGCTAAGGAGAGCGATCCTGTAGTAACGGCTCTGCCCTTGGAACCAGAGGCAGGAGCCCCAGGATCTGCCTGATCCAGGCAGTGCTGCTTCGTGTCCTTCCATGAGCACTAGGGCTGCTGACTGCTGATGCTCCAGCAGGAATGTGGCATTTAGTGCTTAACTGTTCGTGCTTATGAAGTATTTTTAGTGGTAGGCATTGAAACTCTGCAAATCGTTCTTTAAACAAAATCCCCAGAACCAGTTAGAGGTTAGTGCAGTTTTGAATTCCTAAGCCAAGATGTGGCAGACCCTTCCTGAACAACACCGAAACCACATCCGAACCCACACTCTTAATGACTTTACTCCTAACACTAATTACTTTAAAGAAGCAGTTCTGCTGCTTTTCAGCTCTCCTGCTACCAGCCTTTTTAAAAGTGTTTGTGTTTTATACTTTACTTTCTCCGTATTGATGGATCTTCCGCTTCTACTCTGAGGCTATTACAGTGCTAATACAGAACAGTTCCCAAAGCAGAGCTGTGGCTTTGGTAACTCGACCACATCCCCCTTGAGCTGCCAATAAAATGTTGTTCAGATTCACCAGCAATGCTGAGTTAAACAGATTCCTTTTAAAGCTTTCCTGTGAAGCCCAGCTCTGGGAGGTCACAAGGTGCTAGGATTTTCTGTGTTTTGTTTTGACCACTTTTCTTTGACAGCTGCAGAGTGCCATTTAAGTTCTGGAAAAGGCATTGCTTATGGTTGGATTAAGAAACATCAGAATCCTATTGCTACATGTCCTGTTTCAGTTGGTAGCCTCAAATGTCTTTCTGTTTTTACGTAGTTGCTTTGCTTTTTGTGAAACTTTAAATTTCTTCATCAGACAAGGAAGACTTCATTAAATCATTTCTTTAGAGAGAGTTCTAGAAAGCCAAAGGTGCTCTTTCAAGTGTACCCTAGGTCATCTTTCCTCTTACTTTTTGTCATTTCTCAGCTGCAGCTGATCTGCTTTTGGGAAGTCTAGGTGGAAGGGGAGTGTGAGGGTAAGAGCTCAGCATTCCCTGATCTTGATGTTTCTCCGTGACTCAACAGAGTGACTAACAGTGGAGTTGTGGGTAGGGAGCCCTTTTGTTGAAAGGAGGATGGATGTTCTTGATGGTGGTGCTGGCAGCTCGTGCTCTGCTCGGTGTCCAGGAGCTGGACTTTGCCTGCAATGCTCTGGCTCTGGTGGCCTGCAGACATTGCAGGTCTCTGGGAGTAAATATGAGGGAAGTTTCATGCAAAAAAGCTCTTTCAGGCTGAATGCCTGCCTCTCCCCATCTGCTGCTCTTGGAGTTTTCAGCTGCAGTGCTTCACTCATTCGGACATTTTCATGGAAAATGCGTTTTTCTGTGTTTTCTGTCAGTGGGATGAGTCTGCCCTTCTCAGAAGTTATTTATCTGCTGATAAAATGCTTGAAGCCCCCATTAGCTTTATTACCATTAGTGCAGATCTTGCAGGGAGCTGTCTCTGAAACCTGTGCGCTGGTGTTGGCTCTGCCTGCTGTGAGCTAGCAGGGCACGAGCACTTAATTCCTCTACCAAGTGAGAGAAACTTGTCTGAAGACCTGAGTCTGCAGCAGTTCTCGAGTCATCAGTGTCCAGGCTGTCTTCACTAGAAAGATGAATTTTCTTCAGCACAGTTTTGATGGGAACAGATTTCCCTCCTGATTGTTTTCCTCAGCTACTCAGTGAGGGGTAGAGCGTTTATAACCTTAATTTGGACTTCTTTTGTGTGAATATTAAAGATAATCATAATTACATGCCTTTTTTTTTTCAGTCCACAGAGTCTTGTTCAATCTGGGTTGGATGATGCCCAACCAGTAAGCACAGCTATTCACTAACCATGCAAGGGGCTTTCAGGCACCAACCTTTCTCATGACACAGCTTTGCTTAATTATCTCTAGGCCATTTTTAGGTTGAATAGAGCACTTGTGGGCAAAGCATGAAGTGATTCTATCTTAACACAGAAGACAAACCAGAGAAGAGGTTGTTGCTGTAACAACTGCATTTGCATCCCGAGTAATAGCGGTGAACTAATACCAGGAAGGAAATGAGGAATAGACCTCTATATATTTGTAGCAAAAGCTGAAATATGCTTTTCCATTTTTCATCTAATTTCAAGCTAATTGGCATATACAGGCTTCTAAGCCTGTGTTTTTCCTCTTGGTTTTGTCAACTCCTCGGGTCTCCCATTTGTGCAGAACACAGACTTTGAACCACATTGAACTAGAATAACCTTTAAGTTGCACAATCACACAGTAAGACTTAAAAACAAAGGAATGTGAAAGATAGTCAGTAGATCATGTGTTGAGGTTTCGCATAGTTTGTCCAATTATATTTGGCATCCTGTATTTAGGGAAATATATATTTTTTGTTTTTTTAAAAAATAAACTACTTCTAATCTAATGGCAAGCAATTAAGCCTTGCCACATCAGTGGAAGAGACCTGCAGAATTCAGTGTGAGCTGAGATGGTGTGTGTGCTTATCAGCACAGTTTTCCAGTTTTGGGGAAAATGTTTTCTGCTGTTCATTTGACTTGTTTTTCTGCTTTTTCAAGCTTTAAAATGATACGGTGTTTTTAAAAGGTGGTGCTCAAAGGTCTTAGGTTGAGGTTATTCAAGGGCAGATGTTTACAAGATCATGTGGTAAGAGATGGGCTGCTGCTCAGATAGCCGCAGAGGTGCCAGATGACAGGAGTGTTGGGTGCCTTGGAAAACATTCCTGTCATCCACTTTGGTTTGGTGCTCCGAGCGAGAGATCCCATCGGTGAGCAAGGCTTTTTGCCCACCTCAGAAACTGTGGTCCTGCTTACCAAATTAAGCTGGAAGTTTAAGTGTACTGTATGATTTGGTCTCTCAAGTTTGCAGGTTGATTGTTGACATAATTTTATTAACAAACTTTAGGGTGATTTTTTTTAAAGTTAGCAAGCAGAGTAGCTGTAGGAACTTGCACTGTGCAGTAATTGGCTTTGATGGAAGCTGGGTTTGGTCTTTGAGGGCTTGTGCAGGAGTTGCATGGGCTGCCTCCTGTGTAGGGTTGCAGCGGGACTCCATATGTAAAGACTCTGGAGGAAAAAGTTGAGATTCTCAACTGCTTTCCTTCTAACTGTACATCTGAAATGTAAATTGATTCATAGGTGTCTGTGGTGGCATCTTCTCCATCTAAGCGTCAGTGTGGCTCAGTGCTGTAAGTCGCTGCTCATGTGCTTTGGTTCATACCTGAAGTGTGGACTTGAACTTTCTGCTTGCATGGCTTTGGGGCAGGTTAGGTGGGAGAGCCTGAGCCTGCTTATTAAAAACACATTTTCTTGTATTTTCCTCCTAGAAAGCTATTTGATGGGAATATAGAGGTTGCCTCTCAAACTTTCTTGCAGCTAATGGGCAGCATCCCACTTTAAGAAGGAAACTGCTAATGAGTCTGTCTTGAGCTGGGTAACTACAGCAGGTCTCTTGGATGGCCCCTGTTTGCTATTAATCCAGGATGTGACACTGTAACACAGGGGCAGTGCTGGCTGCGTACTGTTCTGCTTAATGCCTGGCACTTACCCTGAAATTCTAAGCTGAAATAACTAGTCAAGAAGCAGACATTGCTTCTGAGCCTGTTGTTTTCTTTACCCCTGCCAAAACAAAGATAAAACAGAGAATGATACGAATGATATTTCAGAGAATGAAAGACCAGAGAGGTCTCCTAGATACTAAGATCATGTTACAGCCAAATAGTTCTGCTGCCTCTTGAAACACAGGACAGTTGATGGCAGGTGCTATAATATAAAAACGTGCTTTAATTTTCTTCGAGAGCTTTTATGCTATTGGCTTTGTGTGTGTGTGTTTGTGTGTGTGAACTTATTTTTCGTTTGAGCTTTTTTGACTGCAGTGGTTGTCGTGAAATCTGTGTGATAAAAATGGTTGTGAAACGTCGATTATTGCTAGTTTGACTGCTGTGTTTTTCACAGAAACTCTATGTCCTCGTTAAGAAAAGGAAATAATGAGAACCGCAAGAGCATATTTTACACTAGCGAGGAGTGGGAATTGCTGGATCCAACCCCAAAAGACTTGGAGGACTCGATGGTCCTAGAAGAAAAGAGGAAGCACCTGGCAGACGGGAGTAAAGGTAGAAGTGAGGGGAAGGAGAGAGAAGCCTTTTAAGCCTTTCCTGCTTTATCATACAGCACTGTGAGATATATATATTTATATATATATATCTCCAGGAAATGAATGTAAACTTATCCTTTCTTCATAAGCTAAATCCAGATTCCTTTGTTTTTTTAATTATTTCCCTATGTGTTTGAGAGTACCCAGCTAGTCAGATGGAATAGGATATGCAACACCTCTTCTTAGCTGTTGTTGCAGGTTCCCCAAGCATGTCAACTTCTTCATTTTTGTCTCTTGCAAAGTTGCAGGGTGAGGGGAAAACTTGAGGCTTTTGATTATTCCTTTATTCAGAACCAATGACTGAAATAGAATTGCTCTCACACTTGCAAGCATGCGTGTATTGAATAAATGGAGGTAAACATTGCTTGGAATGCCCCTTAAGAGACCAAAATGCTGTGATATCAGGTTATCTGCCATAACAGCTACTGAGTTAACAATGAATTACTTGAAGGTTTCTACTTAGCAAAGATGCTTTGCCACAGTGCCTTACATTTTATGTCGTGAAAAGTAAAACTGTGGTCTAATCATCAGCTTTTTATTTCATAAAAATTCACTTATGAAGTAAATCTTTTGGGAGGTGTGGGAGGCAGAGGCATGGGACTTTAGTTTGAGCTACACTCTCCACAAAAGGAAGCAATTTGGCAATACAGGCAATGTTTGATACTGTTGTCCTAGGCTATTTAAATACTTCAAAGAATCTAATTTTAATGAGCATATTTTCAAAGAAAGATTGAATGTATTGAAATGCCTTTTGCTTAAGGGAGTTGAACTAGAAGAAATTGTTTTACGCAGGCCTGACTAGTTCAGCTTTTCCGTTTGATTTTGGCCGCGTTCCCCACAAAGCGAGACGCCCGCTGAAGGACATGATCGGATCGAGCAAGAACCGCAGCAGCAGCGACGCTTCCCCCACTGAGTGGTGTTCTGGCAACGGCAACAAGCTAGTCTCGGAACTGCAGCTGAAATATCAAAGCCAGCAAGAAGAGCTGGAAAAGTTAAAGAAGGATCTCACAAGCCAAAAGGTAATTTAGCACTCCAGGCCAAGGGCACAAATGCAAACAGATCTCGGAGAGGATTGTGTGCTTGCCTTTAAAGCCAGCTGCCTTTGAGCTGGGTATCTCTTGTAACATTAGTGTGTTCAGTGAGCCTTTGGTTCCAAAAAGTCCTGAAATAACAAGAGTCTTGCCCCCTTCGAAGTTTAGATCCCTGCGCTGACCTTTTGTTTGTGTAGTATTCATGATGACTCTTTAGTCCGTATACAGCTTATTTAGACTCTGAAGCAACTTTATCTTCCGGGATCCCAGCAGGCTGAGAATCTGAGCAGTTTTCACCATTTGTTAGCTTCTACTTTCAAATCCTTTTTTTCCTTTTTTTTGGTTTTGATCTTGTAGATGGGTAGAAAAATGGGGACTGACTTCTGTCCCTTTTTTTCCTAACTGATGTGTGCTGTCATAGAAATGTTTTATAAGTCACAGACCTAACCACAGACCTGTGGATGTGGCATCACCCTCATAAAGTGTTGGTGTTTGTATGCCCTCTGTTAGCTCAGATTGGTTAAACATCTTGACTTTTAGCTGAAAGAATTTCTGCTCTTTTTTTTAGGTCTTATTTGGAGTTGCCACTGTATTTCCCAATGTGAGACTATCAAAGGGCAAGCAAAGATAAATCTATCATCTCCATATTTATTAAAATGGTTTTATCTCAAGAACATATTTGTCTTCTGTGCCAACTGCTGTGAGAAATTCAATGTTCACTGATTTAATGAAACATTGAAATCCTACAGGTAGCTGGATATATTCTGACTCTTGAAATGCTACATTAAAGCTGAAGCAGAATCCAAGTAGGTTGCCTTTCTGGCAACCTCTGTGACTGGGCAGGATTTAGGTTGTATTTAATAGAATAGGTAGAAGATGAGAGCAGCCTGCAACTGTGGCATCCAGACAAGTTCTTGTAGCATGCATTGCTTTGAATAGGTTCTGTTGGTGATAATTTGATAAATGACATGCCAATAGTCAGTAGTTATCAGACCAAGTGATGTTGTTTTTGATAACACTTAACACTTGGTGATGACTGAACTATGGCCATGAAATCATCCAGTTTAGTAATAACCAAAGGTAGGACAACTGGCATTAAGCTATGATCTGAAGAATGTCAAACCGCAGTGAAGGAAGGCAAAGAATATGGATTTATTTCGACCTTTTTCTCAAAATCTCATTCTCGGATACTTCTGAAGACGATAGCTTGGTGTTTGAGCATAGTTTGACTCTCCTTTAATGCGTTGGGGCAGAGGGCCCTGATCTGTTACTGCATTGCAGCAGAGTCAGGATGCATGGCCCATTTGAGCCATGCCTGTAAGGATGTTCAGGTCTTTGCTAACTTCCAAATTTTTTTCTTGGTTGCTTTCAGAAATTCCATAAAACTAATTTCTTTGCTTTCTTGATTAGTGTCAAAACTCAGTTTACAGAGAGAAAAGGGCAAACAACACCCAACACAGTTCCATTGGTCTGTCTTGCAAATCTCTTTGGAGCTGCAGTCATGTTCCTTATGGTTCCATAGCGCTGTACCATTAACTAAACTTGGGAAACGGGAACGTCAGTGATCCATAGCAGTGAGATTTACAAGCAAGCACTTCCTTGCAATCTCTTCCTTTCTTAGTATTTGCTGTCAGTTTAGAATTGAAGGAACGTTTATCCCATTGATTTTTGCAGTCTGGTTTCTAGTAGGAATTTCTAATAAGGACTGTTCCAGAATTTCTTTAAACTTCACTTTTTTTTTACTTGCAATTGATAGACTTCAAGTGGATATTGACTGGTATGCTGAGGAGAGGAAGAGGTCAAGACTTAACCTGTTTTTTGTGTTAAGTTCTATTTTGCCAATTCCTTTTGTCAGGAAGTCAGAATAGAATCCCATGCTAGCAAGGCTTCAAGCAGGGTATTACTCTAAGCAACTGCCTTAAGAACAGCTTTTCATGTGTGTGCCTACACTCTCCTCTGAAATCCACACATCTTTTATGCAAGCCAGTAAATGTTGTAATCATCCAGCCTATTTGCATTCCCATAAGCACAGTGCTTGTCCTTTTTTAAATAAGGAAGTAGAAAACAAAAGTGGAAGTCTTGCAAGAGACTTTTGTTATAAAACAGTGTCTTTATATTTTTTTTAAAAGCTATAAAATCTCCTGCTTTCTGTTTTTTATTCTCAGGAACTTGTGCGACTTCTGCAGCAAACAGTCCGGTCTTCCCAATACGATAAATATTTTGCAAGCCGTCTTTGTGAGGGGGTTCCCAAAGACAAATTAGAGCTGTTGCACCAAAAAGATGACCAAATTTTGGGTCTGAACAACCAGCTTGAAAAGCTAAATCTGGAAAAAGATAGTCTGCAGCAGGAAGTAAAGAATCTGAAATGTAAAGTTGGAGAACTCAATGAGCAGTTGGGTATGTTGATGGAAACTATTCAAGCTAAAGATGAGGTGATCATGAAACTTTCACGTCAACTCAGTGAATGCGAGGACAATACATCCTCCCAAAGTGGAGCAGTAAATTCCTCCATGGCTACCTTTATTAATAAGGAACTACAGGAACTGGACAGACTAAAAGTAAGAGCAATGTCTCTGTCTTGGTGGATAGGGGAATCTCTGCTCCCTATACAAACTTTCTAGTCTGCTATACTGTCTGGGGAGATCACTGCAGCATTTCTCCAAGATCCTCATCACCTGAGGCTTTCTCTGCTTGGAATCTACACTTTGAACTGTTGTGTGGCAATCTAAACAGGACTTTTAGACTTCTGAGCTGGCCTGTACATCTATAGTACAGTGTGTTGTGCTTTCAGTAACTTAATCATTGGTGTGGAGGAGTGATGTGAGAAATAATCAAAGGAACAGGAAAGAAGTAAGGGTAAGAAGAAAATTGTGAGCATGGAGGAAAATCAACCAGGAAGCTCTCTTTAAAACAAACACATAAAGGAGACCATGAATCTCAAAAGTGAGGGGGAAGAAAAAGTTCATGCAGAATGACAAAAGAAGAGGGAGAATCCCGGGAGAAAAGAGGAGTATAATAATCTGTTGTTAACGTTGCTTCAGATGCTATCAAAGCAGTTTTTCTTTCCGAGCTTCCTTGGTTGAATATGTGGCCTTAGTGGAATTATGGAAACTACCCATTTTGCTTAAATTCTTATTTTGAATCCTCTTCCTTTCCTTGGGTAAATGCTTTATTCCAAACTGATGGTAATTCCAAGTCACTTGGAATAAAAGTGATTTCCTTACTAAAACATATCCAAATATTCATAGCCAGGCACAGATTGATCCTGGTATTTGTCACCAGTCCTGTTAGCTACTTGCTCTGTGTGCTGGGGTGTACTTTCTCTGGTAGGTGTTTACTGTGAAATTTTTATTAAAAATCCAGTTTGCTTTTTTTTTTCTTTTATCAACAGGACAATCTTCAAGGTTATAAGACCCAGAATAAATTCTTAAATAAGGAGATTTTGGAGCTTTCTGCTCTACGAAGAAATGCAGAAGTGCGCGAGAGAGAATGGCAGGCAAAGGTCAGACTAATGCAACGTCTTCTCATTTTGGCAATATATAAAGCAGCTTTCAAAAACTCAATTGTAAACCAAACAAATGTAACAGAAATGGAACAGTTTGAAGGTATTAAATGTAATAATGAAGTTACTTTGAAAAGTCAGTTAATACAAGATACACTTTCTGGATGTGTTTTTTCTTGAAAAGCAAAACTGCAGTTTATAATAATGAAGTCAATTTTCTAAACACAGGCATAAATGTACACATCTGTAGTTAAAGCAAGATACCTGTAGTTTAGTGGGATTTACTTGAGTTTTTGGAAGTTGTGTATCTAGTGGCAAAAGCCTAAAAGCTTTAATTTTCTGCGGCATAAAAAGATGATGGCAATTGTTTCATGCAGTAACTGAGCTGTATCTGAACCTATGTAGTTTAGACATCTGATATTTAATATTGTGTTATTTGTCTTCAGCTGTGCATGGAATAACCCTGTTAATTTAAGAGCACAAAATGATTGAGTTTTACTTCATACAGTAAAATAATAGTTTTTTTGTGGGGATATAAAAAACCTAATGAGGGAAAGTCTGAGGGTTACTCTTCAGCCCGAAAAGACTTTCTGTGAAAGTATCAAGTAGCAAGTTTATCAGTTTTCTCTCAGAAGTATATCATGTGCAAAACTTTATAGTAGTGCAAGCAGACCAACATGTAACTGTTATCTGCCAAAAGTAAGAGTTGCTTTGTTTTTGCTGCTGCAGAAAAGGGAAAGTAAAACTAGTTGTTCCTGGGCCTCAAATTTCTAAGCAACCTATAAACATAATAGAAACATATTGATCCATGTTTTAGGCATTTTATGAAACCGAGTTACTGAAAAAAAAAAGTTAAATATGTTCTTTTTTGCAGTATACTAGCTTGGAAGCCAAACTCTGTCAGATTGAAAGTAAATACTTGATCTTGCTTCAAGAAATGAAGGCTCCTGTTTGCTCTGAGGAGCAGAGCTCTACTCGCGAGGTCATTGCACAGCTGCTAGAAGATGCTTTGAAAGCAGAAACGAATGAACCACCAGAACAAGCGTTTTTCAAACCACACCTGGTCAGGTAATGGAGTCCCATTAAGATTCCTGTATATGTTTTATATACATTTCTTGTAGAGGTGAATAAGTGACTATTTTGCAGGGGTGTTATCTATAGCAGAAGCAGCAAATACCATCACTGGCAGCCAAAGTGCCTGGCTCTGAGATGGATCACTTGGTGCAGTTCAGGAGACAGCTGTAGATATCACCAGTGTATGTTGATGATCTAGGCTCTAACACTGGAAAACAGGCAATGGGGATATATATTTGGACTTTTAGTGTTGTTTTTCTTGATGTGATTCCATTTATGAATAAGGTATAGTCATGACATTCTTCTGGCATTAGGAACAGATGGTAGAATTTAAATACAATATGAAATTTAGAATCAAATCTTGCTGAATAGCTGCTGAAGTTTGAGTACTGAAAAAAAATGAGTGCAATTGACTTCATATGCTTAGGTAAGTCGCATAAAATCTGTGCACTGATATGCCTTGGACTACGGCACAACTTTCTGAATATGGATTTATTCCTAAAATATCATGCAGAAAAAATTATAGCTGTTAAAAGTTCTTTAAAATGTTGGTGAGTGACTTGAGGGACTATTTGAAGTAACCTTGGAATGGGATCCTGAAATTTACATTGCAGAACACATTTTTATGTGTCATGTCTTTTTCTTACAGTGAATATGATATATATGGATTTCAGACGGTCCCAGAGGATGATGAGGAGGAAAAACTAGTAGCAAAATCACGAGCTTTGGACCTGAGATCTCTTTCTCTTAGTGAAAATAGAGAGATCTCTACCGGGGTAAAATGGGAGAACTATCTTGCAAGCATGATGAATAGGGAGATGATCCGCTGTCTAGAACTGAAGAATCTGATAAGGTCTGGAATTCCACACGAGCATCGTTCCAAGATGTGGAAATGGTGTGTCAATCTCCACGTTAAAAAGTTCAAGGATGGAGCTGTTCCTGGGTATTTCCAAACCTTGCTTCAAAATGCCCTTGAAAAACAAAATCCAGCATCTAAACAGATTGAGTTGGATCTCTTGAGAACTTTGCCCAACAACAAGCATTATTCTTCACCAACGTCTGAAGGGATCCAGAAGCTGCGAAATGTGTTGCTGGCGTTTTCGTGGAGGAATCCTGATATAGGATATTGTCAAGGTCTCAACAGGTAAGATTTTACAGATCGTGAATTTTTAAAATGTAGTGAAACATTTGATAAACCTTTCAAATTATAAATGTATTGTACTTCTGGACACCAAATTTCCCTAGGGGCTGTACTTTTCTAGATCTTAATATTAGGCTGTTAAATGTTTTGACTTACATGTTTTACACTTACACTTGCTTACGCTTGTAAGTGCAGTTTTGCAAAAGAAGTGAAATTGAAATTAACTCGCACAGAAAAAAATGTGCAAGTTTTGTGTTGGCTTCATGTTGCCTTTAGGTTATCTCTTTACATTTGTGAGTGAGAAACTTACCTCTAGGCTGTGTATTTTTCTTTATTTTAATAACAGAAGTAAATGATTTAAAGCTTATCATACCATGAAGGCTGTGAACTTCTGTTTCCCTCGGGGAAATATATTGCATTCGAGCTCAAGTAAATTAGACAGTGATTCCAATGCTGCAAGGCTATGGACTTCAACGTGTAGTGTCCCTGCAGTGAGTGGTTGCTGAAACAGTTTCAATACCTTGAGCTGTACATGGAGGAAGGTGTTATTTGAAGCAGGACTATTAAGTTCCCAGCACCTCAGCACTCTTGTGAGGCAGTTCCAGACGTGTCTTGTGCCCTGGTTTAGGTGCTAGGATAGGTAAGGCCTTTGGAGCTGGAGCAACCTCATGATTTGAGATAGGCCCTGCAGAAGGGGTGCATATATTAAGGTGCAGTGGGAAGTGTCAAAGTCTCTTCCTGGCCAAAGCTCCTTTCAGAAGGAACCATTTTCAAACTGGATCACAGGGCTTGTAGGTCCCTCCTGTGTGTTCAAATTCTCTGCTTTGTTTTGTGTAAGCCTTGCCTAGAAGCAGGATGCCCCTGCCCACACTGCCTTCCTGGAGGATTCAGGAGTGAAAAATAGAGAAGTCAATAAGAAAACTTCATGTAAAAGGCCCTCTTGCTGGGGAGAGGGGCAGGCGCTATCCCTCCTATGTCTCTATTCCCTTCCTCCCTGTTTCTAAAGATGATACAGTGTCATTACAAATCTCTTAAATAGCTTCATATACTACCTGGGTTAAAGCAGTAGAAGGAGCAGCAGAGATGAGGGCTTGAAGGAGAGCTGGAGAAACAAATTCAGCCTAGTTTATATCAAAAGAAATTGATTCATCCCCATTTCATTTTTAGTATTTCATTATGAAAGATGAGGGAAGACCAGTGAACTTCTGAAAACTAAAAGTTAAGTAATGCACTTAAGACACACAGACTGTTTTTTGTCAGGCAGGGCGTGAGGGGGGAGTTGTTTAGGCATGCTGAGATGGTAACTCTCTGCAGGAGCCTGAATGAGGAATCAAAACTAAGGTCGAGGGAACGAAATAAATGGACCTAATATGGTAGCCAAAATTTAAGTCAAGCCGTTCAGTTATACGGGGCACGAGGCTGTTCAGGAGTGAGGTTTATCAGGAGAAGTGAATGATGTGGGGATCAGAAACGTTATTTCTTGGCAGAAATGTTCTTTCTTGTTTTTCATGAGCAGCTATGTTTTGTAGTTCTGTGCTTCCTGCACTACCTTTTTCTAGCATCACTGGTCTCTGGTGTGTCCCAAGGAGCACCTGAAGAAAACAGCAGTTGCTGGCTCAGAGTAATGTGCCTCTTATTAAAAGGTGGCAGAAATTCTTGTGCTGAGCTAGGACTTTGAATAGCACAGTTTTTGCTTAAGGTGTCTCTTATGTTTGTTTTTCCTAGGAATAATTCAGCATTTGGGTGCAGGTTAAAGATCTATCACTTGCTTTGATTCAGGCATTTTATTATCGGGCATTAAAGGTTTAAGCGGTATAATATCAGAAGTAGTTTGTGGTATTGCAACTCCTATTGCATATGGAAATAAAGTTACTTAGAGTAATATATTTGAGGTAAACTTTCATATTCTTAACAGCTATTGACAGCGTTTTTTTTTCCTTTCATAATAGTCATTGGAAACTGGAAAACGAGGAATACAACTAACTGTTCTTTTTTTTTCTATTTTAGGAAAGTCATTTTTAAAAGTGAAATCTTTTAAAAAATCTCTTAGGTATAAAGTGAACTTCCTGCAAAAGATCTTTTTTTCTAAATATATGGCAATCTTAGTGAAATACAGGAGCTATCATCTTTCACTTTAAGGGAAGGCAAAGAAGTCTGGAGTAAATTGAAGACTAGCAAAACTCTAATTATTTTGCCTGAGTTCCTGGCAAAACAGCCTCTGGCAAATCATGTTTCTTTTGGCTTTATCTACTTGCTCGCTGAATTGAGTAAGAATACTGGGCTTGGCTGACAGCCATCTCATTACCTCATTTGAAACTTCATTAGCAGCTTTGCAGGGTAGTGATCTACTATTAATCCACACGTCTCTGGACAGAAACAAATGCTGCTCTCAACACATCTTGTGGTGTTAGAATCATCTTTTTTCCTGTTAAATGTAATTTTCAGGTTGGTAGCGATTGCACTTCTGTACCTGGAACAGGAAGATGCTTTCTGGTGCCTGGTAACTATAGTGGAAGTCTTCATGCCTCGTGATTATTATACTAAGACACTGCTAGGATCACAGGTATGTGCTACACCAAACAAAGTCTAGTCCTGTAAAGTGCAGCCATTTAAAACTTTGACTCTAAAACTGGCTGATAAACAGCATTTACTGAAATAACTAAAGTGGAAATTGGTGCCTTTAAGCCCAAACGATGGCGTGGGATGTGAGGAGCCACTGCAGGCGAGCCCCAAGCACCAGGATGCAGGTTGGGGACCGTGGCACTGAACATGATCAGCTGGGAGCTGTGGCCCTTGCCCACTCTCCCAATGAGCAGCTCCACAGCATTAACTGATTCCCCTTCTCCCAGAAGTGGGAAGGGGCAGGGAGAGGATGGGAGCTCGGGGCTGGCTGGGGAAGCCAGGGCACGGATGTGCTCCATGGAGCTGCGGCTCTCCCCCATTCCCAGCCAGTGCTTCGGGACCTGTGGCTGCCCCTGCGGCTTCCCCGGCCTCTTCCAGCCAGGGACACGTGGCAGGAGCCCAAGGTCTGTGCCCAAGGGAGCCCTGGACACAAGGAGTGTTTTAACCAGCCTGCAGGCTGTGGCAGCAAGGGGGTGCCCGCGGGGGTGTGGGTGTTGTGTGGGAGCTGGCGGGTGTAGCTTAGGTTGACTGGACAGCCCTGCGGTTCTCTGCTCTTGGGAAATTGCAGGTTGGTAACAGGAACAACCCAAGTTTTGGAAAGCTGGGGAGCAGTAATGTCGTATTTGTCTCTCTAGGTTGATCAACGTGTGTTCAAGGATTTAATGAGTGAGAAGCTGCCACGGCTGCACGCGCATTTCGAACAGTACAAAGTTGACTACACGCTTATCACCTTCAACTGGTTTCTGGTGGTATTTGTGGACAGTGTCGTTAGCGACATCCTTTTTAAAATATGGGATTCTTTCCTATACGAGGGACCAAAGGTGAGCGGAACGAGCAGTTTTTTTCAAGCTCTTTTATGTTAACAACATGCTGCGTTGTGACTGAGTATGGCTTGGGAGAAGGGGGTGGCAGAAAACCTCTGTCAGTTGGAATCACTGGTAGGAAAAGAGGGAAGAAATGTGCATAAATGACCAGCCAAGATCATTTTGACTTCATATATTCTGCAAGTTAGCTGAAGTTGCACAGTTCTCAATGCTGAGTGTTTCCCTTCTTCCCTGCCACCGATATTTTAAACCTGAAAATAAGTGTACAAGCAATGTTGTCTGCTGCTACATGCAGCTGTCTTCACCAGTTAAATTACATTAAGCTGACAGATACTGCTACAAAGAAGAGAGCTTAATTGAAGGCAGCAAAAATTAAAAACATGGAAAAGATGTAAAATCTTACTCTAGGTGCTAAAATTTGCAAATACTTTTTTTTATTGATACAGATATTTAAATGATAATGTCCGACTGTCAGTAACTGTCTGGGCTTCTATCTCGCAAATTACTGGAAGAGGGGATGGTTTCATGTGTTCCACACTCTAAGTTGTAGTGAAATAAAGTCAGCAGAGCAAGGAAAGTCGTTGGTTTTAAACATAGTAACATTAAAAGCAGATGTAGGGACTTGGAAAGAGCAGAAGGTGTAAAAGAAGTAGACAAGAATAGTGTATTAACTAGATTCCCTGCTGGCCCTCTCTGAGCATTCTGACACTCCAGTGTTTTTGCTGAGTTCTCTTGCAAATCAGTGTTAAGCATCGAGGTATTTTGCAAAGGCTGCCAGGTATGGAACTGGGAACAGGGAAGGCCTCTGCCAGAGCTGCCTGGCAGCCAGTGTCACATTCCACTAGCTTCACTTCCCCAATATGTTCCCAACGTGTTGGGGAAGTCCAAGGCGCGGAGATACAACTTGCTAATTGTTGAGCAAAGCCTCATTTCTTTTTCAAAATGATTCGTCTCTGCTCTGCAGCTTCAGTAGGCACTCAGGCTTCAGTGAGTTTGCAATATAAAAACTCAGTATCGTGTTCTGGGTAGAACAGCTTGTGCTGGTTAGGCTCTATAACAAGTTTTTGGCAGCTGTTGGCGGGTGGAGATTGGAGGAGCAGAGCACAGCAGGAAATGGAAATAGAGGAGTGTGATTAGATAGCTCGAATACCAGCTGTGGGAAGAAGAGCTTTTTTTTCCTTTGAGTTTACTTTAATGTGAGAATGGGTGCATTCTGTTCTTAAAGACATATTTTTTTTATCAGGTAATATTCCGATTTGCCCTGGCACTTTTTAAATACAAAGAAGAAGAAATCTTAAAATTGCAAGATTCCATGTCCATATTCAAGTACCTTCGATACTTCACACGCACTATACTTGATGCTAGGTGGGTAACTCAAGCTTCTATGTATTTGAAAGGCTTTTAGTAGTGTATGGGAGTAGTCTGCTTTTTAAAAAAACTAGATATTCATTTAGATATTAAGTAATAGGAGATAAAAATGTATTTTCTGAGGTTTCCAATCAGAAGCTCGGCTTTACCTAGCAGCTGCTTTTAATCTTTGTTTGAATAACTGTTCCAAGCTGCAAAGTGAGAGGAAACAAAAGCAGAGCTGCTGAAAGCACCATCTGTGAATGTTGTGTGATTGTTTTGATGCTGCTGGACAGGCTGCTGCGGGAGCAGCTGCAGCCTGACTGTAGCACTCCCAAATTCCAGCCCTAGGTGAAAGGCCTCACCCTGGATCGTGGGGGCAACCTTGGCTAGAAAAGGCTTTGCAACAGAAGCAAAGGCTCAGTGCTAGACATCAGCTGTACCTCAGTCAATTTAAGTAACTGAATCACTCAATTGTAAGCGAATACCACTTAAATAGAGCATGTTTTTAAGATGCTTGAAGCAAGCATTCTAAGTTAGATACTACTGTATTCCTCAGTACTTTGCATGAGAAGCATGGCTTTTGTAAATCCAAGTTTAACGTTTTAATGTTAATGTCATTCTGATGACAAGACTGTAGAGCAACATATCAACATTGAAAGGAAAGGCTGTATTGGATCATTATAATAGCTGAAAATACGTTTTGCACAGATATTTAGACTTGCTTAAAATGTAGTAGAAAATAATATGCTTTGAGTTTTTCAGTTTTACTGTAATAAATTCCATATGGACTTAAGCTTACCCTTTGGCTCCTACTGCAAGAAGGAGTGTTTTTCACTTCCTGTGTTTCAGTTTAGACTGCATATAAATTAAAACTGAATCGTCTAATTCTGTCTGTAGTGTTTTGCTGCTATTGATGCTGGCATAAAGCTCTGCACCCAGAGCACTAAATTTTACCCAGAGTTTAAAGGGTAAAAATCTTGGTAACGGCTCTGCTTCCTCTGTTAAAGCCTCAGCAAAGGCTCTGGGAGGGTTTATATCTTAATATTCCCCCCTGGACTTGAAAAATCCCAAACAGTTGTTGTACTCAGCTGCTTGTGACCAAAATAGATGCTGATTGTGATTCCCACTCTGGAAGAGACAGAAAAGCCTGGACTTGGTTTTCAGCAAAGCGTCGTTTGGGCTAAAGCAGTAAAGGAATGAAGCTAGTGCTTTTTTTTTTTTTTTTTTTCCCCCAATCATCTAAGGCTAAATTTGAGTAGAATTTTATCTGTTTTCAGATATTCCATTAGAGCTTCAGATGTTGCTTCTCTTTTCTTTTGCAAGTCTATAAAAGTGTATGATGGCTAGGTCCCCTCTCTGAGCTTCTGCTAGAGCAGTGTCCCGTTGCCAGCGTTGCGAGGGGAAGGGGCAGCGAGCCTTGCTGGAGGAGACCCTGTCTGCACCACCTCCCAAACAATCGGCTCTCTCGTTTGGCCAGGCAGTGAGAGCCCAGGTGAGGCCAGAACACGACAGCCTCCAGGTTGTCTGCGACACCCGCGTGCCGGGTGCGAACGGGCTTCGAGCTCGGCGGCCGCGGAGGGACGCGGCAGCGCAGTGGCTCGGTGCCACCTGCCGGGCCCTCGCCTGGAGAGCAAGGGCAGATTCAAACAGCTCCCTGCTTACCCCGCTCTTTTTGTACAAATCTTGCACTGTTAGAACTTGGACAATGCACACGTGTGCACAGTGAGACTTGTTGCTGATACAGACAAGTAATCTTGAGCAGGAAAATGTCAGAAAGTCTTTTTTACAGAATTTGAACACCTGAATTAGAAAGTTTTTCCATCCTAGATCCTAGATGCAGGTCAATACTGCTGTGACACCCAGTCACACTGGGTGACTCAAAGGGCTGCAGCTGCTTTCATGGTCTCTGCTGGGTGCTCTGCTAACTTCAGCTGGCACCAGCTCTGAGATCTTTGTGCTTCAACCAGCAAAATCATGACCTTTCTAACTACATTCAAGTCTGGCTTATGAGCATTCTGCATTATCCTTTTTCATACTTGCATTATCCCAGGGTTTATCTGGCTGCTGAACCACTTCATCAACCCTCAATAGCAAAGAGCTGACTGTCTTGATGTCAAGTGAGTTGCAATGAATTATGTGAAGGAAGTGGAGTATCTAATCTATAATCAGATACTTGGACACACTAATTATTCTGCCTGGCCAATTAAGCTCTGATCAGGGAAGCATTCCTCTTTTGGTCAGTGTTATCAAGGCTGCAATCACAGTAGCAGTATGTAGAATTTGAAGGTGGCTTTGCAAACTGGCAGGAGTTTGAGAGTGTTACTTTTGAAACTGTCTGCTCTACAGACCTTCCTTGAGGGTAAGTCAGGTATGTGAAGGACGCCAGTAGTGTCAGCTGTGTCACAAATATTAATGTGGATGGAGTTCAAAGCTGACTTTAAAAGACATCAATGTCTGACACCTTATAATGTGTGTAATCCCACAGGAAACTGACTGCTATTGCTTTTGGAGACCTGAACCCTTTTCCATTGCGTCAGATCAGGAACAGGAGGACCTACCACCTGGAGAAAGTGCGTCTTGAACTGACTGAACTTGAAGCCATTCGTGAGGATTTCCTACGTGAACGAGAGACCTGCGTAGAAAAGAGAGACCTTATTAGTGATGATGAGGAGGATAGTTGAAAGTTTTCAGACTTTTCTTTGGGATCGTGACCAAAGTTCATTGAGTGAGTTCACCTCCAACACACTTTAATCCTGTCAAACAGAATGTAAACTAGTTGCTTTTGGAAATGTGCAGGACAGATTTCCAAATCCCAGCACTTTCAGAAATATTCCTTGGTGTGGAGGCCAAAATGCTTCTGTTTACAGTTGCATTCATTGAATTGTATGTAGAGCACTTAAATGAATATTTTGGGTTAGTCAGACAGCTGCACCGGCGGCTGTTTTCCCGTGGCACTCTTGTGCCTGTGTGAAACAGTAGTAACAAGGTCATCACTCAGTTTACCACATTCATTGCCAAGATTCTGCATTTTTTACCATAACTGTGTTTTTTGTAGTGCAGACACAGTGTGGGAGAACGTACTTTTCATTTTCATGTTGGTTCAGTAAATGGCTTTCATCGTGGTGTTGTCAAGTTGGCAGTTCCTGAGGTCAACTGGAGAAGCAGGGAATGAAGCACCAGAACTCCTGCTTTCCTTTGTGTTTCCTGAAGCAACAAGAAATGCATCGTTGATCAGAACACTTTTTTGTTGTTTATGTTCGAGTACCTATTTGTCACGTGAATGTTTGGTGTATACTGGAACAGTGATATACTCCACTTATGCAGTCAGTTTTATCCCTGTTCAGGGGTGTGTAGTGTGTGTGTGTGTGTGTGTTTTGTTTGTCTGTTTTGAGACATTGCAATCAGGGTGGGGGGAAACAACAGCCAAAACCCAGATCTTATGGAGAAGGGAGCTAGCTGGGAATACCATGTTTTAGTAGCTAATTATTGTTTTATCTGTTAAAGGCATTTTTTTCATTTTTAGGGCTCCTCCTATCTAGGGTTTCAGACAGGACAAAATTTTTATCTTTTACACAGAAACATAGTATTTGCATGTATGTATAACCATTGTACGATAGTGATAGAGATAGGATTCTTAAATATATAGCCATGACTCAGACCTAAAGCCACAGCACGTGCACAAACACTTAAGATCCTGAGAACAAATGGAATATTTGGTGAACGTGTTCATGTGGATGCACGTGCTGCAAGGAGTGCGAGGGACACTGAGCTGCAGGGTTTCTGACTGAAAACTGACTGTAGGCCATTTCCCCCACTTCATTACCAGCTGTGGTTTCTAAAAACAGGAGGAAGATTTTTTATTTTTCCTGTTTTCCGACTGGGCTCTTGCGATATTTCTTTTTCTTTTCCCCCCCATTCAGAATGTCTCATTCAGACACTTGTCTCTGGGTGGATTATGGTAAAACTAATGTTGAAATCCTAGGTAGCCAATCTCAGCTTCTTGGGTGGGCTGTTAGGTGGCAGAAATGAAAACTGATGATCAGGAACAGTCAAGTGCATGAAGCTTCCGAGACCTCTGTTTTCTGAGAGCCCATAGGATTTCTGTCAGGTATGTGCATGTAATGGTCTTGGCAATCTCAAGAGGTAGAGAAATCCTGCTTTTGTTTCACAGCACTTTTTTGAGAATATATTTATAGCCTTCTTTAAGCGTGTTATAAGACAGTTTATCTGTGAGCTAAATACTTTGTTGAAGTGAGGCAAATATTGTAGCTTACAGAACTACTTTTGATACCTAATGTGTGCCTCTTCTGTGTACCACACCATCAAAAAAGCCAGGGAGGGAAGCATGATATGATCTCAATTTTTATGTTACTTGTCTTCTAAACTGTCTACCTTGTCTCTTATAAGCAGTGTGTGCATGATTGGGCTGGTATTCTGTAGTCACTCTACATACTTGAATTTATTAGTTTTTTCATATTATTGCATGTACTGTATTCCTTTTTTTACTTATTATTGGTATTTGATTATAAAAATGGGACCAGCTTTTCTAATTTTCTACTTATACTGTCTTTGTTTTAGAAGAGCTGGTCTCTAAGTCACAATATTCTGTAATGTTCAGTCTTTTGTTTTCATCTTGTTCCTAAGTGTTAAGCTTAGAAAAGGATTACAGTTAAGATCTTCCTTCCAGTGACAACAGTTGAAATATTCAGGTGAATAATTCAGAAGTACCTACCCTGTTCTTAGAAATCGCTATTATTCTTGAACTTTTGAGTCTTCACTATGAACTGAGCTTAAAACTTAAGAGATGTTTCCACACTGAGTTTGTTAAGGTCTTCAGGGTGTGAAGATAAAACCAACTTTGAGGCAACTGTTCAGCAAGTTTTAAACTAGATTTACAATATTACAGGACTATTTCTTTTTTACAGTTTTGCTGAAGGTTGAATCTGTGTTACTGTGATTTGTACAAGATGATGTTACCCATTTGTACAGTAAAATTAAGCTTCTTGTGCTGTGTGAATCTAGTACGTGAATTGGGAGGAAGCTTATGGAAATCATGCCTCCCTTTCATTAGCTTACAGTTGTGAAATGAATTGCTGGTATTTTATTCACACTGCAAGCAAGCTGACTTCATTTTGCTGAGACTGATATCTTAAAAGATCAAAAAAATAAAATGATCAGGCATCTAAGACTTGTCTCTGGCCACTAGAAGTCTGCACAGAACAAAACTGAGGTGACTTAGCAGGCAGATGCTCCAGGGCAAGCTTGCCTTGCTGTAGAAGAAGTTTATGGCAAATGTCCATTTTCTAGTGATGCTTCATCTGGGAAATTTGAGGAAAAATAACTCTTGTTGAGAGTATGTAAGATACACAAGCAGTATTTAAACCAAATGAAGCCAACCATAAATACAGTGCAACTTGGTGATCTGCAAAGCTAAACTGCGTAGATTCCAAGTGTTCAGATTTGGGGTAAACTTGCAAAGCATTGCATGAGGGTTAAACTCTGACGCTGATTAGAAAATTGGCTTGTTAAATCAGTAATCATGAAACTTTGTGGGTTTGCCTATTGTAAGGAACACTTCCAGGCTTTATTTTTTAACTTCAAGACTATGCACATGTGTAAAGTTCCTTGTGCAATGCTCCCTGTGTATGTTGTGTGACCCAAACCATTGACTTGTATCCTACAGAATATTCTTTTATCCTCATAACTATATATGGCTTTCTGGTGAAATTTATCTGCTGTTTAAAGTATCTTCTGTTGAAAGGTCAGACATCTGGTGCACTACATGTTTAGCTATAAAAACTTCACAGTATTCCAGCTTTACCTGTTCATGCCTGTAGGTGGTATTATTCTCAAGTGTTATTGGATTGTTTGTTTGTGTTTTTTTACAAGCTATATAATCCATGGAAAGACTTTTTGTTGCCTTTTAGGTGTTTTCTGTGAGAGATTGTCCCCTTCTCCCAGTCCTTGTAAACATGGTAAGGTATGTCAGTAGAACAGGAAGGACTTTTGTTCCCTAGGACATCACGAAGGAATGAATGGCTAGTCTCAAATCTGATGAATTTGGTAGTATGTTCAGCCATGCCTAACTGAGCAATGGAAAATTAGTCACTTTATTTCCAGAAACAGTGTAACTGTTTAAGTGAATCTTCCCTTAAGTGCCATGTTATAAATCAGCAATATGCGGTACAAGAAATTTGAATCACTAAATGTAACCAGTGTTGTTTTGCTAAAGATTGATGTAAAGAAAAATAAATTGTTTACTACTTTGCATTACAACTTGCTATGGTTTTTCTTTTTTTCATAACAGATGGAAATGACTGCAGATCCCATCGAAACAAAAGCCATTAGTAAATCTCATGATTGTCTAATGTCATTTGAGAAATTTGCTATAGAGGATAAAATACACAAATTAATTTTTTTGGAGCACAAAGATGTGGACTTTAGACATGTTGCATGCAGGTGATGCTGACTGGGTAAACTTGTGATTGGTGTCCTTAGTTCCTTGGGGAAAAGGATGTAAAATAGCCATGAGCATTCAGAGGAAACGGACTTAAACCTTTGTATTCACTTGGTATCTTGAATTAGCTTAATGCTTTTTAATTAGTGGTAAATACTATCAAATACTTCACTACTACAGATGCCAACTTGACAGCTAAATGTTTGTGAGGAAGTAAACATAATGAGATTACTCTTAAGTGTTTGTCCAAACAGGTCTTCCACAGTAGAGGTGAATAGTGCACAGCTCTTGTCTTGTTGTGCTGCAGGAGAAATGTAGATATTGGCAGAGCTGGGAAACTGTTCAAAGGAGTCACAGAACAGGATAAAGAAGAATTGAGTCAGGACAAGTCTGTGGCCTAGAAAACTCCTCTGATGTATCCTGAAAAATGTAAGTCTAAAGGAATAAACAGAAAAGTTCTGGAGATGGAGTGCATGGGGAGTGAGGTCTTCCCTTGGACGCTTAGTATGTCCTTTAGGTTGTGTTGCCCTCTCAGCTGCTAGCGCCTTATTTGCCGTGTGTGTGTGGGTGTGTATATATATATATATAAAATAAAAGGCCTATAGTTATAGAACAGCTGCTGTTCCCATTTCCGTCTTGGCACCATCGAGCTCCAGGGTTCTCAATTCTGTCCTCCAAGTTGCAGCTAGGATATATGCAAGTAAGGCTGATGGATTTAGCCGACCAGGTATGTTACCTTACCCCTAAGAATGCATTAATTTGGCAGAATTATAAAAGGAAGTTTGTGATGTGAAATTTCATCATGAGAGTCTGCTGCAGAAGTTGTGATGTGAAGCAGTTATACATTTGCTTGATGGGCAGCTCTGCCCTGTCAAAACTGCTAGTCTTTCAGGGCAGGCTTAGGTTAAAAAGCAGACCTAGGGACTGATCATGGCATTAAATAAAACTAAAAAATAGCCAAAATATGTACTTGGAGTAATTAAGATGAGTTTAATAACTTTAGTTTGGGTATTTTCTAATCCTGACTACATCCTGCCTATGTGTTTTACTTAGGATGTGGTTTCTGTGTGAATGAAACAATTAGATCACTGTGCAGTGAGCTGCCTGTAAGATCTCGGGCTGGAGCTGAGGAACTGCCTCTTGAACGGATGTCTTCAGGTGCTGTGACTGGCGACTGAGCTATGAAATAGGCAATTCATGTGTCTCTGTAAATGCAGGTGGTATCCTGGTACGTAGTGAAGGCTGAGCTGACACTTCCCTGAGGAATGTAAGGTATGTGCTTCCTCCTTGGTCCCTTCCTGAAGGAGACTGTTAGTAGCCTGGCTGGCAGGGCAGCATTTGCCCTCAGAATTGGGTGACTTTCGAGGCCCCTTGTGCTGCCCTGCTGCCCTTCAGAGCTGCTTGGCCCAAGGTTTCCTTCCTGCTTGTGCCCCGTGTGCACAGAGAGGACTTGTCCCATTGCCAAAAACAGACACTGCAGCTACTTTTAAGCAATATATAAGGCATGAAATTTGGATGTAGTTCTAATAACAAGACAAGTCCGAATATTAAAATGGAGTAAGATTTGGTCTGCCTTTGTCCCCCCCTCTTCTTTTAAGGAAAGCCAGTGGAAATTAAGCTCAAAGGAGGGTCATTGGGGGTATTGCGAGCTCATTGTGCTTTGAAAGGTGCCCATGTTGTTTTGTGCCCCTTGTTGTAGCTAGGAGCAAGAAAGGTGGCCTGCCTTGTGTGTGTGCTTTGTGCTGATAGTGCAGAGCACTGCCCTGGTGTCACTGGATCGTGTGACACCGGAGCAGTAAAGGTAAAGAGCGAATGCTCCATTTCCCTTCTGAAGAGTTCTGAATTCTTGCACCGGCCTTTGGAAACCTCCAGCACTGCTCCCGTTTCCTGCCCTCCACCCTGTGCAGCGGTGGACGCAGCCGCTTTCCTCTGCTGTGGGAGGCCCGGGCGGCGCTGGGGCTGCGAACACGGCTCGAGGCCGGGCTGGGGTCAGTCCTCTGGCCTTGCAGCAAACTTGTTCTGCCACGGCACTGAGCAGCTCTGCCTTTGGGCTCTTGCCAGCAGAAAAACTCAGAACTGCCTTGTACCCATGCAATTTTTTTGCAGTGTAAACCAGCCTGCCCGCTCAAATGAGAGAGTTTGCTCTGGCTTTGCTTGATTGCAGCTGTGTGCAGAACTGGAAGGGGAGGCAGCCGGGTATTTATTTACATGCCATTTCTAAGGTGTGAACAACCCCCTCGCCATTCCTCATAACAAATACTGGCTATTTGCTTACCCAGAAGAGACATAAGGAAACCAAGCAGTGCTTATTGCAATTGCTGCCTGTGGATGAATTGGAGGGGATCCCGTTTTACAGGTTCCGGGGGTGCCTGTGGGACAGGAGAGCGAGCTCCCCAGCAGGACGGGCAGTTGCCGGTGGCCATTCCAGGCTCAGCCTTGGGTATCCCTGCAAATATTTGCTCTGCAACGAGAACAGCGGCGCGAGGCCAGAAAACCCCGCGTGCGTTTCCTGCCGTGTCTTGGAGCACCCCGGCCTTTCCTTGGACCTTGGAGGGTGTCGCAGCCCGCGGCTGCAGCGTGTGGGCGCCTCCGCAAAGCGGGGGACACGCAAAGGGCAGCCGCGCGGTGAAAGCCAGGGACGCCTAGGCCGGGTCTGCACGAGCGCGGCCTGGATCCTCGTGCCCGCGCTCGCGGAGGAGGAGGACGGCGGGGGGCGCCGCTTCCCGCTCCGCCCCGGGGCGGCAGCGGCGGCGCCTCCCGCGCACGCCCGCCGGCCGCGCGGTTCTTAGGGCCCGAGCCCGCCGGGCCGCCGCGGCAGGTGCCGAGCGCGGGGGCGCCCCGGGTGGCGCCTCCATAGCGGGGT